CGAAAACCATTTGGAGTTGGTCCCCAACCATTCACAAGAGATTCACAGACCTGGCCACAACTACTGCTAACAGTCACTGCGAGGGAATGAATAATCTGAAACATGTTTTTAGTCCAGCAAGTAGGAACTGACCCGATGCACGTCCCTTACGTTCCATCTGTAATGGTCACTGCATTTGGCAGTCTCTCATAAATTAATACCTTGCCCTGCAAACGCCCCCTGGGGTTATCTGCTCTTCAGGAAGGGCTGGCTATAAATGGGAGGCACATTCACATCCTCCTTTCTTGGGCTGCTTTTTGTCAACTGCTCTGTTCCAAGTGAACGCACAGCTCCCTGGAAGATGAGCTAGAATGCAAGAAAAGGCACCTTGGGGCAATGCTGCGAACCAGCAATGCTGCCCGAGGCGGTTCAGATGTTCGTGTAACCAGGGCCTGTTGTCACCCCTCTTTGCCAAAAATTAGTACAGCAGTGTGGGAGCCCTACTGTAGACAGCCACTTGTCTAAGCCAGGGCTCCCAGTACCTGACCCAGCACCCCTGACCCAGAGGCCATCCGGGTGGGCCAATTCTAGAGGTTTCCTAGTGTCAGCAATTTTCACGCATGCATCCCAGTGCCACGCACATCACGTAAGCGTCAGATCTTAGGTTAACAGTAGTGATCAGAGTGATCAGCAAGGGCATGTAACCACTAGCTGACTAACTCTATCTTCTGTCAGCTCTTCTACAAGCAGAACAAAGACTGATGTATTCATCTTGCAAAATCACCACCAACCTGGGCACAAAATGGACTCTCCCACCCCAGCCTTGTTGGTCAGGGAAGTCTGGGGGATAAGTGGAGGTACGGGTACCTGGGGAAGGGATTGGGTGCTTCTGTTTCTGATCTGCAACCTGAATCATCCCAGGTGCCTGAGCTTTCTGAAGCTACTGAGCAGCCATCCTCTGAAGCCAGGTCCATGTTGTCCCCCAAGCAGAGGACCCGAAAATGTCAGTTTTCTTTCCTTTAAAGCAGGGATTGAGATTTTATCTGCTAATTAAATGAAGCGGCCAAAGTTCCTTTTCCGACAGAGCTATTCCAAGCTGGCATGCAATCAAAGGAGAGCGACACTTCCCACGTCCAAAAGGAAATGAAGGACAATTATGGAACCTTTTCCAAGTCCTCTGCATCAAACTGAGAACCGTGCTTCAGAAGACCTTGCAAAGCCTACAAGAGGAAGAAGTGCCTCCAGCACAGTGCACCCGTGTGTACCAGCTGCTGAGACCAAAGGAACGCCGGCAGTTTGCTCCCCTGTAGGGTGCAAGTGCACAGGGCAAAGGAAGCACGGCAGGTCCGGAGCAGATACGTCACATCTGTTCAGTGCTTGAGCATTAGTGAAAGGTTTCAGCGAGATGAGGAGTGCTAGTGCTCGGTGATGAGAATGGCTGGCTTCAGGGCAGGGGCGCAGCAAACAGGTCCGCAGAAAAGAAACCCAGAAGTGCAGACAGTGGCTAACAATGGTCAGAGCAGATGGCTAGAAGTGGGTGCAGCTGTAAGCCAAAGTCCAGCTCAGCTTTAGGTCACTGGCTGGCTCTTTCAGCAGATCACTTGGTTACTTAGTGCAGAACCCAGACACCTACCCCACCCCAAACTGCTTTTGCTCTCCCAGCCAACATCAGCAAGCCCTCAGCAGTTGGCACAGACACCAGGCCCATCCCTGGGCCAGCCACGGATCCCCCACCTCTGTGCACGTGGCAGAAACGGGGAGGTGAGGGAGGGGTGGGACAGAACAAAAAAATGACCAGGAAGCCTGGCATTAGGCCAGATTTTCAGCCTAAAAAGCAAAACTTCTCAGAAAGGGAAGAGGGATGAAGTGTGGTGGTGCAAGGGGGAATGTGAGTCTCACTGAGACTTTGTGGGTTTGTATGAGCAGAGTTCAGTTAAAATGAACCCATGCTTGATCTGGAGTGCATGCCCCTCATGGCCCTGCCTCAGGTGAGCTCTATGCCCTTGAACTGTGGCTGTGAACACTGAAAGCCTGTCTGTACAGCAGCCCCCACAGCAGTACTGCCACAAAGAGAAACCCAAGTGTGCCATGGAGTGCGACTCTCCCGAGGCAGCCGCCAGCCAGCTGCAGCAACCACCCATCCCACAGGACAGAGGAAAAGCTGGGATTACAGCCAGGAAGGTGCACAAGGATTCTTTGGCCATGGAAATCCATGTGGTCTTGTCACATCAGCTCAGCTGGGAAATGCTTTTAGGGTGACAAGGAAAAGGCACAGGGAAGGTTAGGGAGAGATCCAGAGGCGGTAACAACGTGACTGGGTCTCTCGCTTACGGATCCCCTGAAAAGCAGAGCAGTTCTTCCCTGCTAATGTTTTCGCCTTGTGCTCCACCCACCTGCCTGCTCCCTCCGAGATCAGCTAGTGCTCTGACTCCAAAAGTTGCTGTTAAACAGCCTGGGCTTGGATATTTAGAGTCTAATCCTCCTCTCCCTTAGGCTGGTCCCAATCCAACAGCCTGCTCTGTCCAGTTACAGCAGGGCTAGCATTAGGAGTGGGGCCCTTCCGGTTTAAATCTGGAGAGTGAGCTCCACCCCTGCCAACAAACCCTGGCAGCAGCAGGCTGCTAATTACAACTCCCATTTCTAGTAGCTCTCCCTGCAGGGCAGTGCCGGCACCAAGGGAGCACACCCACAGCCTGGAATGAAACAGGTGGCCAAGAGCACGGGGAGATGGTTCTGCCGGATGGTTGGCTTGTTCCAGTCCTTAGTGGGGAAGGAGACAGGTACGGCGTGGGAATTCCCAGAAGGGAGAGCGGGGGAGCCCTGCATGCAGGAGTCAACAAGAAGCTGCAGACGGAGAACGTCGCCTCAAAGCTGCAGCAGAGACTGCTGGCATGTTCACTGTAAACTGGCCCCGGCCTTGCTCTCCAGGGAGGAGGATCCTCCTCGCTAGTTTATGGCTGTGCCAGCCCTCAGATCACAAGAGGGGCACGTGGGTGTCTCGCTCCAGGTTCAGCCGAGTTGCAGGTGCCAGAATCCCAGCTGTTAGGGGTATCTCTGCATCTGGCTTTTCAATAAACAAGCAGCTGCATGATGGGGAGCAAGAGGCGTCCTGACATTTTCAGGATAGAGTCAGACTGGCCGTGGGGGGGAGGTCTGAGTGGGAACTGCAGCTTGATGCTGGAGGAGTGGCCAAACCCTGGGGGTTAGGGCAAATGATCCACTCTAACCGTGTCCTACCCTCCAGGCTCTGCCACGGTCTCTGATCGTGAGCTACGAATGCCCCAGGTTGAGCAGGTGAATCTGCCCACTGTCCCCAGTGTCACTCACTCCACCCTGCTTCACGTCGCCTTTCCACCCCCGGCTGCATGGAGCCAGCCGATTGAATATCTATGTTTCGGCAATGTAGTGTAAGACAAGGGGAGGTCTGAGGCACCGTGCATGGGACAGAAGGCAGCCGCAGGGCCGACAGATGCTTCCTCCACTGGCCTACAGTCTCTTCTTGATGAGCTTCTCCAGCTTCCGTATGCGGGAGGACTCCTGCTCGGGCGTCGGTGCTGTCAGAGAGATGGAGCCGGGGTTTTCCATCCCCGAGGGAGGGGCAGGGAGCCTCTGGCGGAACAGCTCCAGCATGCTGCTCTGCTCGCTTCTCTTTAGGCCCTATGAAAAAGCAGAAAAGGAAAGCACAATTAAGATGTGCCCAAAGCCTTACCGAGCCTGAAGAGCAGGTGCCTGGGTGGAGCTACTGGGAATCCAGCTTCTTGTCTCAGTCTCTCACACAGGCCCTGACCCAGGCAGGATGCAGCCACCTGGAACCCCAGGCTGAACTGCAGCTCTGTAAGGGGTGTGGGGGGAGAGGTGTTAACTTCCAGAGGTGGGAGGATGCACTTCCTCTGAAAAATCGCTTCCCCCTCAAGCCTCTTTCAAAGCCTGCAGCCTTCAACTGAAGGGGCTGCCCAGGCGCTCAGGATTAGCTGGAGGGGTTCTGACCTTCATGTCCAGTATCTTCTGGAACGTGTCTGTGCTGCAGTCGGCGAGGAGCTTGATGTAATTGTCAACAAACACGACCGGGGGCTCGTGGGGAGCCATGACCACCTGCAGGAAGAGGGGCAGACAGAGGAAAGAGACAAGCGTTAATCCAGCACGCTGCAACCCAGCGGGCACAGCATCCTGGCAGCACATGCAGTGCCCAATCCCTTGAGAAGTCCCAGCCCGCTGTGTGCCCTGGGCTCTCTGCAAGGTCAGTTTCCAAAGAGAGGGCCCCTTGCAATGCCAGCCCCGCATGTCTAGGTCAGGAATCTCGAGCAGTTACCTTCAGGATCATCTCTGCCCGAGTCATGCCCTTCACGACGATCTTGGTGTAGCTGGCAGGTGCTTTCCTCACCACTTGGGACCCAATGGAAGGCAGATCCAAGAGGACCATCTTCAGAGAGTGAGTATCCAGCAGGAGCTGTAACAGTTGACAGCTCCGTTACACACAGTTCTCATAGACAAAGGTCCCTCAGCTCCTGGATGTGGAAGTTTAACTCTTTACAACCCGTGACAATTGGGGCACTGATATCACTAACAGCATGGGAAGAATGAATGAACGCCATGGAGACTTAAAGGACCAGATCCCCACCATGGGTGAATATCAGCATAGCTCCACTGACTGCAACGGGCCTACTGGAATTCACCCCCCGCCAGGTATCGGGCTCATGTTACCTGGATGACCCCATTCCCTCAGCGCACATGCAGGAACATCATCTGCTGTTTGTAGGATAAGGAGATACGAAGCTGCAATGCTAACTAGTTCCTACGGTCACTTCAACACCTCACTTCCTTTGCCTGCCGACCTGCTGTTCTACCAAGCGTTCTGCATTTATTCACCCACTTGCTGACTGTCTTCTTCACATAACTAATAAATCTACAGCACAGCAGATGCGCTGACAGCTCCCTGCTCCCACTGCACTGCATTTACAAACCGTTAGGATAAAGGATCCAGTGCATATTGACTTTCATTAAACCAGCACCTCCAAATGCTTGGCAGCTGGGGAGAGGAAGCCTTGGTAAGTGCTTTACAGCCCCAAACGCTGTTAGCTTTCGGGACCGCGCCAGTTCAGATGTAAAATGCAGGAGAGAGGCCATCTAGGCTGAAGTCTGAATAATCCAGGCTGCATGCTGCTTCCACCAAAGCAGAGTATGATCTGTTTTTACAACGCTGGGCAGGAAGAACTGTTAGGCTATTCAGGCCCACAG